AATCTGATCTAGCTCTGACTTAAAGGAACCCAGGGTTTTAGCTTGCACTACATGAACAGGAAGATTATTCCATACTCTAACTACACGCTGTGTAAAGCAGTGTTTTCTCAAATTCAGTTTAAAATGTTTTGCTAAATTCCACCTATGGCCACGAGTTCTAGTATTCCCCACACTGGCGAGAGTGGGACATGGAAGCATCAACATACACACCGAGGTCTTTCTCATAATCAACTACCTTTATTTCAGTGGAACTCATAAAATATCTGTACTTTATATTTCTGCTCCCTGAATGTATTACCTTACATTTATCTATGTTAAAATTTCATCTGCCAGGTATCAGCCCAGTCACTAATTAAATCAGGATCCCATTGTAGCCTCTGTGCTGCTAGTTTAGTGTCCATTACACTACCCACCTTGGTGTCGTCTGCAAATTTAACCAGTTTACTGTATGTATTGGTGTCAATATCATTCATGTAAATTAGGAACAATAGTGGTCCTAATATTGAACCCTGCGGTACCCCACTATGAACACAGGCCCACTGTGACATTGTGCTTCTAAGAACTACCGGTTGCTTCCTGTGAGTTAACCAGTTTTCAATCCAAGCTGCTACAGTTCCTAAAATCCCTGCAGCTTTGAGCTTAAGCAAGAGCCATGTGTGGGGGACAACATCAAAGGCCTTCTGGAAATCTAAGTAGATAACGTCGTAGGCCTTTTTGTGATCAATTTCTCTTGTAGCGTCCTCAAAGAACTCATGTAGATTTAGTTCAGTTCTTTCTTAAAGTATCTTAAAGATTCTTTCTTTCTTTTCAGTTTTTTCTTAAAGACATTTCCTCCCACATTTGTTTTCTGTTTGCTGTTATTTGCAGATCAAATTTACATTTTTTTTTACTTTGTGAGTAACTTTGTGAGGCGATAACGGGTATCACAAGCAGGCGCGAGTGCAAGCATATGAACTGTCTCCATGGAAATGGGACAATTTTACTGTCATAAAATGTCTTTACTCAAGCAGCGGGTTACTGTCCAGGGTGTACCCCAGCCCCATGCCCTGCGATGGACTGGCACTCTGCCCAGGGTACCCCAGCCCCGTGCCCTCCAAGGGACTGGCACCCTGTCCAGGGTGTACCCCAGCCCCATGCTCTCCGAGGTACTGGCACCCTGTTAAGGGTGTACCCCAGCCTTGTGCCCTATCCTGCCTGGGATAGCTTGTGACCCTGACCACAGTGAGAGGTTAGAAGATGGATGGACGGATGGAATAAAGGTATATAGCCCATCCTCCACCATGTGCCAATCAATAATCCAATGGTCCTAAAATGTAACATAAAAATAAACAGCTTAGCAACTTTCAAATTAACCTGACAACAGAAAATAGGTAACAATTATTTCATATTTGAAGATTTACAGAGATGATGTCCAAGGTCATCACTCAGGTTAGGCACTCTTCATGCTGTCATGTTGGGCCAGCGGCTAACGTTACGAGTGAAATCTGACATGTATTGATTGCTGACTGGAGCTGGGAGCCACCCGCTGGTGGATAGAGCAAAAACAAATGAGAGAAAGAGAATCCAATGGACCAAGGGCCTGGAGCTGCATTTCAGAAAACATGCAATCAATCTGTTATGTTGTTTCTGTGGGAACTGCCTCAAAATTATTTTCAGCACAGGGACCTCCAGCCTAACGTACAGTGACAGCCACTTCTAAAAAGAAAATATTCTGGGAAGGTAATGTGTTTGATGTAATACCAGATTATTTCGGAAGGGATGGTGGTGGTAAAAGTTGTGGGGATGGCGCATTCCTTCAACAAAATTAGCATAATTGATGCTAATTCTAAAAACTTCAAGTCCAAGTAAGAATGGAACTGGAAAATGTTAAATACTAAACTTTTCGCTCTTGTACTCTTAGTCACTTTGGGAAATACTCCCTCAATTTCCTTCTTCCTTCTGAAATGTGCATGTAGAATGAAAGATGCCATGTTACGAAGGAGCTTCTCTCCTCATTCAGGCACCTGTGAGTGTGTCGGCAGTGAGTAACTGGTGTCAAGCTGATTTTCCAGAGATTAAATATATGTGACCTATGTCACATATTACTTTGTAGCACTATTTGAACATTTATCTTCTGTACACTATCACCTGTAAGGAGAGGGCTGCATGTAGGCTACATATCCAATTAAAGTGCAAATTTTACCATACAGATCATGCAAGACGATATTAAACATTCTATTAACTAATACATTACCACTGTTAGTGTGAACCAACTCACAGTCCTCCATCAAGACTGCGATGTTATTTACTAGTAGATCTTAATCTAAGGACAGCATGCAGATGACAACAAAGACTCAAATACTATACACTGTAAGAAGAAGGTACTGTAAGTGTGGTGCCCCCCCCCCCATGTTATAAGTGCTATTATCTCAACAACCAGAGATGACCCCTGCAAGCACAATCCCCTAATGACAGGACACAGGCGGTAAACAGAAAATTTCCATTATCCAATTTCCAAATTAGACTATATCATTGATTACCATTAACTACATTGCTATCTAAAACCATCATAGATCCTAATTTCTGTCAATGACACTTTGTTGTCAAAGGAGTAATATTAAAGTATTTTTTCATTTCGGTTTGGTGTCTTTAGGAGGGAGATGAGACAGCTGCAGCAAATCATCATATCCATTCCCCCGCAATGAAGAAGCCTCTGAATTCGGCTCTTATGCCCTGAATTACAACCCACTACTTGAGGCTCCATAGCTCAGTGGTTAGAGTACTGGTCTTGTAAACCAGCGGTCGTGAGTTCTTTGAAAGGTGGGCAGTGGTGGCCTAACAGTTAAGGATGCACACTTGTAATCGAAAGACTGCTGGTTTGAATCCCAGACCAGCCTATGCCAAATATGGATTAAATGCAGAGGACACATTTCATTGTTGTGTGTCACAATGATCGCTGATCACCTTACTACACTTTCCCACTACAGGGAAAGAGTGGCATGCAATAGCAAGTCTGCTCAGATGATGCAGCAGCAAAGACACATAAAAAAATATGAATGACATGACTTCAGCACTTACAATGACAGCAGATGAAACAATTAATGGGGAAATACAAGATGGGAGATGCTTAGGAAGGGACTGTACCAGGGCAAAGGAGCTAGAGCTTATGTCTAAAATCAGCTGATCCTGCACCACTCATGACCATGTCAATTTGTCTCTCTGCTTAGTTGACCTCCCCCTCACTAACCCTATGGGGTCTGTCATATGTTGAAGTCTTTCAAGCCTGTCAAGTTGTGTAGGCGTCAGTACTGCATGAATCAGATGGAGCATTAACTGTGGTTGAATGTCCAACCGTTTTCCCGTCAGTTGCTGCCTGCCGAGTAAAGTTTTCACCCAAAGAAACACTTTGAGTGCTCGAAAGTTGCAAAACAAAGCACTTTCCAGTCATAAATGTACTATTTCATTTACAGACTAACTTCAAAACTGCCTTAATCGGAAATTAGTTTTATTTGAATGCTCGTAAAACGCACTGGATTATGCATATGGATCTTCCGTATTATAAATAACACACGCAGATATGTAATAGTTTCGGCCGACAATACTGTATTTAAAATTCACACAAGATAAAGTAACAGATGAGAGTCATTACTGTGAAGTCTTTATTACTTTCGTATTGTCTTGGGATTTTGACCAAATTCTTTACGGAGGGTACATTTGACTAAAAATACTGTATTACTAAAGCAGGTAACACAACAGCAAGGAGTTGACTAAAAAGCTGCTGTGACGACCACTTGTGATATTTGGAACTAAGTCTGAGGCTGCATACTGATACTGTGCACGTATTTTTTTTATTTTGAAACGACACTTCGGTTTTAAAGCCTTTATTTCCTAATACATTGGGCATACGATTCAGTTCATACTGCAGGGGATCGTTCTTACCATCTTCTGTTGCTTTTTCCAGGCTGGGTGAAGATCTGTCCCAGTCGTCTTCTTGGATCATGTATTCCACAGTATTTGAGATCACGTATGTGTTATCTTGCCTCCTTTGGGTTTATATTATTTTTTTAACGGCGTCATCAGTATTAATTGGAAGTTAATCCATTCAATCCTTAATTGCACTAGCTCAGAGAGATGGGGCGAGATGCAGCTTACAAATACTGACAATTAATTCAGTCTGCGGCACAGTTGATTACAAGCCGCTCCGGGCGGGGCTGAAAATCTGTCCGGTCAATCATTATCGCGTGTTAGCACGTGAAAACGCACGTTAGCTTGCTATTGGACATGTAAGTACATTTTCCTCGAAATAAAAAATATTTGCAAAAATATCTCACCGTGGCTGCAAGCAGCAGTGTAGTTGAAGGTAATGGCGCATACTGAGAATGAGCTAACCCATTACTGCGTCTCACAAAATATGGCTTACACGTGGATAGACAGGGTGGTTGCGAGCTCGTTATAGTTAGTTGACCAACAGCAACATGCTACTAGAACCGTAATATTGGAGTTTCAAAATCTGAACCGCACTCAAATGTAAAAATTAAAACATAAATTCCGTATTATTGTACACTTGCCCATTCAGCTATTCGACTTCATAATAAAACCTTCAAGAACGAATGGGTCGTTGCAATTTTCAGTATTTACTTTAAAGTTAGAGCATTAATAATTTACTATACATTTTGCCTACTGGTTAGGTTTTTACTTCCAAACATTTACACCCCTTTGCTTCCAGACAGCACTCAACTACAATTAGCTTTGATCTCAGTTTCAGTACTGATTGGTGAGGCATCTAAATCCAAACATATTTTAAAGGAAATCTGAAACCATTTATTCCCGTTCACTTTGTGGGGAATTTTTTTTTTTAATTTTTCAAGTGTAAGTCGCATACAGTAAACCGAAATTAACTGGTCCAGAAGACTGGACCACTCAGATGGAAATATCTTCCATGTCTTCAGCATTTTCCCTTAATTAACAGCACGAAATTCTATATTCAGAAGTTTCACCCACAGATGAAGTACACAACACAATTTCTCGACAGATCATTTATTCCCAAATACCAGACAATACAATGGTCACAACATCAATACAAAAAATTTGAAGTTCCTTTTCCTGAGGTAAAGCAGTTGAAACTTGTCCCCATTGTTTTGTTGATTCTGTGATTTTTAAAAGTAAACATCTAATCTATTGGCTGCAAAATTAGTTCTATTGCAATAATAAATCTAACAAGTATTTTAAAACCAACAACCCTATTTAAACAAAATCAACTTACACATCTGACAAATCATTAAGCTACATGTTAATTTTACCATCCTTAGAAAAACTCTTGCCCTCCATTTTCTAAATTTACCACACCACTTAAACTGGCTGAGAACTCATGTATATTTTACACTTCTGCCCAAATTGCTCAAAACACACACTGTGCCCAAAATCTATGGCGCTCAATAGAACTTTAATACCACAAAAAAGCTGGTCTGTTGTGTATATCCCTGCAATCTGAATATTTCAACGTGGTTACAATACTTCTATGTACTGGCCACCAAAACTAAAAGAAAAATACAGGGCTCTGGAACTGAGAATCAGCTAACCAATCACTGCATTTCACAGACTATGGCTTACATGTGGATAGATTTGATTGGGGGTTACTTGCATGAGGGTGGAAGATCTTGCACAATAAAAATGACTAAAGACAAAGGACATTTGTTGCACACTCGGAGCGAACCTACCCAAAGAAATGTGATTAGATCTGTGCTGGTCTCAATTTATACCTGACACAAATGGGCATAAATGATTAGTTCTGGTTAAAAAGAAAAGCTATTATTTAGTGCCTTTAGTTGGCACAGTGGCCTGCAAGCTCAACGATGACAATCTCCAGTGTAGAGCACTGGGAGCCTTCTAGTGTAACTGCTTATATCGGGATCTCAAACTCCAGTCCTGGGGGGCCGGAGCCCTGTGTAGCTTAGTTCTTTCCCTGTTCCATCACAAGTGATTCAGCTCAAGAGCTGTGTGGCAATTAGCACAAGGAGTTGAATCAGGTGTGTTAAATGAGGGGAAACCCAAAAATGTGCAGGACTCCGGCCCTCCAGGACTGCAGTTTGAGACCACTGGCCTATATAGTGCCCTCTGACCTGTTGCCCTCCAGGAACAGGATAGGGGATGGGGGCTCTATGGTGGAGGGGGTTAGGGAATGGGGATGGACTGGAGCTGGTGACCCATGCATTGCTTACCTTCCATCCATCCATCCATCCATCCCTTCATCGGTGGGGTGATGCAGAGATGCCGACACAAAGGGGAACCCCCGTCTCACCTCAGCCTCTCTACAGCACTGCGCCTTGCAGCTGTTCAGAGCACAGGTGGAACACCTCAGTTGTGTGTGCATGTGTGCGCCCGTGTACCAATGGAAAATCCTCACACACACACACACACATCATAAAAACAAGCCGATGCAACATGTCCAGCAACTTCCCTTTCCACCTACGTTCAACTATGCCCTTCCAAAAACTTCCCATAGGAGTGCTAACATATGCTGCTGATCATATAATCAAAAAGCCTATCCTATATGATATTTTGCAAGGCTGGGGGCTTTGGAGGGACTTGAATGAAATTTGCAGATACATAGTCTCTATGCATTCACATAGGTCTACTTTTCATTGTTCCACAGGATACAAGTCCGCCACTTATTAAAAACATGATTGAAATGATGCCCCATGGAAAAGTTTTTTTTTTCCTAGGTAGAATCTGAATAAATCAATCCAATCAGGGCCAGATCAGGCAATTTAAGTCCCTTTCACACAAGGAGTCAAAGATGGGGAGAGGGGGAAAAAAAAGAAAAAAACCAACCCACTCTTCTGAGAAACTGGGTCTCCTGAGACTACCAGTTGTTATACAGTCCCATAGTAGGGTAATCCCTGGGGTACCAGAACCAGGCTCCTGGGCAGTTGAGTTGCTGTTGCAAAAGGCTGAGCAGAACCAGAAGGGGGAGGGGGGCGACGGCAGCGGCGAACGTCGTGTACGGCGGGCAGGCGCTCAGGGGGGGGGGGGGCACTCAGATCCAGCAGGCCTAAAATGGCATATGTGGGTACTGTCCCACACACTCAATCGCTCACGCACCTACCACAAAACATGGAACAGAACTCCAAGCCGACTTCACAGTATGTATGTGCGTGCGCTCCCTAACACGTCGTCACCACTGACTCCAGTCTTTGGTTAGTGCATAACCCATGACCCTCTGCAGTCCATAGCGCCCTTCATGTACCCAAGACGTTGGAATGGGGTAGACGGGGGGGAAGTGTACTGTTGAGGCGCAGACGTCATTCGGGGTCTCAGTGCTTTTACCTTGAGGGGAAGGGGGGGGGGGCGCTTCCACAGCATTTCGCGATGCTAATTTTCTTCCCCCCACATCACACGCACATGGCGTCCGGTGGCCTGGGACCTAATTCAGTTGGAATAGTTAGTCAAAGGGGGAAAAATGGTCTTGAAAAGCAGAATGAGAAGAGAAACATGCACTTCTACAGAATAGTGGCCATAATCACAGCAACAAATAAGCAGAACCGCAGTGCCAGCAAAACAACCAACATCCCTTCTTTGCCAAGTACCAAATAAGAGGAGAACCTTCTTTTGTTTGTCCCGATTTGAAAACGCCAACCCACTGATTGCTCCTACATTCACATCAAGGCCACCCGCCTCAACACTATATTCCCTCGGCATAGTAAAATGTCACAGACTTGTTACCCTGGGCATTTCCTTGACATATCACCAGGAACAGGAAACCAATAAGCATTGCAGACAGCACTGAATGCTGTGGCAGCTGTACTGAACACACTGTCTCATCGGAACCTATGAAGTTCAGCACTGAGCTATGCAAAGTCCCCATCCCAGCTAATTTGTGGATTGTGGTTTTTGAACAAAAACCCTGATAAGAATATAAAAGTAATGAAAACCCTGCAAGCCCTATTAATAATACTGTTAAGATTCTTTATTTTTAATGCAAATACATATTTATCATGAAATGTAGATTTTCAAAAAATTAAAAGGAAAAACACATGCTAACAACAAAGAGGACATCTACATCTTTTCATCCTAACAGCACCCCAAATGTAAGGGTTTGGGACAGCAAGGTTATGAATGCAGATGAGCAGGGCTCAGTGTGTGTGCACGCGTGTGTGCGTGAGCGCTCCCTGTTCTCACCATCACATCGATCGCTGGTGCTCAAAGGAAGGAAAACCGTCACTCACACTCCTAGGGAGAGGAGAGAGCTGGACAAGAAAGAAAACGGGAAGATCTTGACCAGATGTGTCAGGATGGGCAAGATTAAAGAAAAAAAAAAATACAAAAATATATAAACAAACCACAAGAAGCTCCTTTGAATCTTACACTGGACAAAATGCCCTTATAAAACACAAAGGAGTAATGTCTGAAGTTCAGGTCAATTTAGTACAACTTCAGAAACTTAAAAACAAAAGGTGAACAAATTGTGTTTCAACAATCTCAAATTTCTAACCCTTTCTCATGATTTGATAAAGGGACATATAAAACTTAAAAACAATTCATTGCATTTTGACTGCTAATTTAAAACATGAACCCAGTTACAAAAAACTGTACACAAACTGAACACATTTTCCAATATCATGGATAATTCATTTTATTTCACTACGTGCTCAAGGTTTAGTGATAAGGGTTTGTTTTTATTACAACTTCACGTTTGCAAGGCTAAATGTGCCATTTCACCCTACCCTTTTCATTCAAATAAAAGAGACATTGTTCTCATTGCTGAGACAGTTCAAATGTTTCTTGAAATGGTTGGAAAGATTTGATTTTATGCTGTAGAGAAACTGTGCAAGATTAAAGTGAAATTGTTACTTTTGGTCAATGTTGTGACTTTGTACACACTCATAACACATAAGCTGAGAAAAGCTGCGAGACCCATGTACCAGAACTATGCAGCTTGTTACTGTCCAGAGCCCCGGACACTGCTGTTCTTTCATGGCTTGTATAACTCTTAGGCCTTACACCAAACATGCACCCAGAGACTGCAGCAGCCGGCTCTGAGCTCAGTATCCCACCTGGAGGTATCACATAAAGGTAGGAATGAGAGCACATTATGTGCTAAGAGTAGATGGGGCACATGGGTGAGGCCTGCAGCAAAAATGCAACTGCTGGCAGCAATGGCACAAACACCTGTGACAACATACAGCACAGACTTGGCTACAGAAAGGCAAAACACCTACATGAAAATGGATTGAGTCCCTTTTCCCATTTTATTTACAAGATTAGACACATGACTAAAGTTCAAACAAGTGAGGGCCCTATGGACACATCCAGAGGGTGAATGAAGTAAAAGCAGTTACAAAAATCTTCACTACCACACACCATCCCCTTTCAGGGTGAAGGCAAATGGGTTGGCAAGCTAGCTGCTGTCATATGGCAAGTCAATCCCAAAGGCTCACTGACCGGCCAGCCTACAGGCCACGTGCTTCAGCTGCATCTCAGTGAGAGGTAGATGCAGGGTGTGTGTGGTAGAGTCCCAATAGTGGGAGGAGGGGGGGGAGTCTTATGGCTCTTGTGCCAGTGATCCCCTGCCTGTGTGCCTGCTTATTTCTCCACAGCCCATCAAGAAGCAGAAATGTCAGGGCTGTCCACACCACTGCCACTATAGTGGCTGGCAGAACTAAAGAAAAGTACTAGATACTAACCCTGATCCTATATGACATCATCATGTGTTCAACACTTCACCATACCAAATTGTTTGGGGTTGTTTTTACACCAAATTAAAACGCTAAGGAGAGGGGGACAAAAAGGAGACAGGCCATGTATGTCCAAAATGTATTAAATGCACTGCTAAGACAACAACAGTAGAATATGTAAGTAACAGTCCAAATGTCAGGCTGCTCTACAATTAAAGTTCCCGAAAAATATATCTAAAATTGTGATTAAACCAAAGCAGGAACGTAGTCAGTGCTGTATGATATGACAAATACCAAGAAAATAACCAGCGAACAAAAAAAAAAGAAAAGAAAAAAAGACCTTTTTTTAACAAAAGGAGTAATACAAATTATTGTATGTGTTGAAGCCACTTTTAAAGGATAAAACCAAATCTTTCCTCCAAATGACCTGCCTATAAATGAGTTGACAAAGGACCAAAGTTGGGATACAGTCCTTAAAGACCCTGGTACACACAGACAAGCACGCTCACACACACGACCTCCACGGGAGGGAGGGAGAGCAGGGCCACTATCGGAACGGGGGCTCTGGAGTGTGAGGGGGGAGCTCAGGGCGGCGGAAGAGGGGCTCCTTGCGCGACGACGGCGGAGGCGGCGGCTCATACAGTCTGGGCGACGTAGCAGCACCCGGGGCAGGAGGCTGAGGGGCATCCTGGCCAGGCACAGGGGGCAGGGGGTCTGGGGGTGGGTAGGCAAACTGGTACTGGGGGTACTGTTGGTACTGCTGGTAATAGTCTGCATAATACCTGAAATAAGGAAAGCACAAGTAAATAAACAAAGCAGCAGCAAGCTGAACGGCCCGACCTCCTGCCACAAAGCAGTGACAGGATGAACACAAGCAAACACATAGCCTACCTCGCCACGGGATCTTCCTCTGCTGCTGCGCCATCCTCTGGCCGGCTCGAGGGTGTGGGCAGGAGGGCTCTACGTTTGGGCCTCTGTTGCATGAAAGGTTTGGGCACCGGGTCGGGGAGCAAAGGCGCCGAGCGGCGCAAAGGGCTGCGGTCTCGCTCGCCTGACTTTGCTCCAGCCTGCTGCTCAGCAAGGACCTGCTGGCCTTGGGCAAAGTAATGTGCCCGTGCCGCCTTGAAGATGGCCTGTGCCGTCGGGTCAGTGCTCCCATAGGCTGGACTGGCGCTGTAGAGGGCAGGCGCCACGCTGTACGCAGGGTTCACGGCCGCTGTGGCTGAGGGAACCTCCCCGGCACTCAGATACATGGGGCTGCCCATGGCCGGCGGGTACATCTGGGTGTTGTAGGCAGCGGCGGCGGCAACGGCGGCGGCGGCGGCCGAGTCGTTTGTCACCTGGCCATACTCTGAAGTGCTCATGCCACTGTACACCTGGGTGGCGCCAGAGGTCAGTGCCTGATTGCCCATGGAGCCATAGAGCTGGTTGGCAACGGCGCCGTACACCTGGCTGGCCAGGGCCCCGTACACAGCCGGGCTCACCGGAGTACCGTCAGATCGGTTGCGGGTCGTCAGGCCCGTGAGGGCCGCGTACGTGGGGTCGAAGGTGGACGTGTTGTACACTGAGTTGTGGACACTTTGCTGCACCTGCAGTGGGAGCCCGGCAGCAGCAGCGGCAGCAGCTGCCAGCACAGCAGCCTGGCTCTGGTACTGCTCCAGAGTGGGTTTGCCCATAGGGCACTCCCCCGCATAGTGACCCTGCTTGCCGCAGCTCACACAAGGGATTTTGCCCGTGGGCGCCTGCTTGCTGGGCTGCACCTTGGAGAGCTCCACGGAAAGTGGGCGGCCCTTGAAGGAGGTCCCGTGAAGCGCCTCGATGGCCTGCAGCGCATCCTCTTTGTTCTCCATGTGCACAAAGGCATAGCCTGCGAACGAGCAGAATCTGGCTGTCAGTCTGAGTCAAGGCATGCACCTACAACTACACGGAACAAAGTAGTGCTTCACAGGTTCCTAAAGTGGCACACAGCAGTACTGCAACACTACATAACTCTGCTTGCCTTTTTTTTATAATAATTTTAGCAATAAAATGTATTTTATGGAGCAACACTAATACTAGAAGAAACTAGCTAATAAACTAAATTGCAGGCATATAGGTTTTTTTTTTACTTTTCGCATATCATACTAAGTGCCCCATGAAACACAGACAGACTATATACAGGTGACAGTGAGTTTTAGGAGTCAGAGCACGGGTCTGTCAGTGTGCAGCGCTCCAGGGGTACTAAGATAATGATTTGATTATGCTGCCAGTCACAGAATTCAAACCCACAGACGGTTAATACACCAGTTACGCACCACCCAAAGATAGGCATTACAGTAAGATGGAGAGAACTAGGCTCCACCTGGAGGGTGAGCTGAAGGAAGGACTCAAGCTGACAAGCACAAACTCAGAAATCAGAAACAGTTGAGTCATAGCCATGAGAGCCTAAATATCACCTTCATTATGCTCCTATAACCACAGAACTGGGGACTCAAGTCAGGTAGCCATGGGAACCAACGATTCCTAAAAGCCATACAATGTTGCAAGTAATACGACTGCTTCCTCCAAGTACCTACTCAGCAGCAAGAAAAACCCAAGAGTAGAGTACCGCTCACCTTTGACCTTGTCACACTCCAGCACTTTCCCAAACGTCTGGAAAAGCTCCTGCAGGTCCTCTGTGGTGCACATACCGCTCAGGTTACCCACAAACACCTTGGTCGAGTGTAATGGTCTCCCACGTGACTCCTCCACAACCAGGTTACGCCCACGAAATTCACGGCCATTCAACTCCTTGATGGCCCTGGCAGCAGCGCCCTCGCCCTGCAGGTGCACAAAGGCAAACTGCCTGAGCACACTGCAGCTCACCACAGACCCATAAGGCTCAAAGATGGAGGACAGCTCTTCCTGGGTTGTGTCCAGGGCCAAATTCCCCACAAACAGCTTCACTGTGTTGCTCTTATCCATTGTTCCTGTAACAGAAAGAGGAGACATTCAGCAGAAACAATTATGTTAGTGCTTAAGGGTAACTCATAATAATGAAAGCAAACGTAGCCATATAATTTATACTTTTTACTTCTAAAAAATTCCCACTTGAATAAGAAATACTTAAAACTTAACTATTACTGAAAGCATATGTCAGGTTTTTGGGAAAACAGCACTCATCGTAGGTTTATCAACACTGAAATACGTAATACTGAAAATTACGAAGCAAACGTAATATATTGTGTCAGGTGTTCGCCAGCTAAAACACTGATCCATGACGATGGCGTGCGTATTGGCGCCTGTGCTAACAGTATGGAGAGGAATGAGAGGCGGTGGTGGCGCGGCGAGTTAACGCGCCTCACTTCCGGGAACACGACGCCGTTCGGATAAATGCTAATTATAAAGGACAACTATACATCTTAAGCGTTGATTTAACGGTCAGTATAATTAATAGCTTATCTGTATTACAAAAGCACAAATTTCACTTTTCTAAAAGCTTAACTGTTTGAGGGTAAACGGAAGTCTCAATGCCCTTCATTGGAAGCAAGCTAGCTTGCTAGCGCCGTAAAGCACAAAGCTAGCCAAAAATGCTAAATAAGGCTCAAAGCTAGCCTGGTAGATACGTTCATCCACGACGTTTCCTCCCTACTCGTACACGTCACTTAGGCGAGTTATCGTTTTGGATCGTATAAGCATACATTTAAACATTCGGAATCTAATATATATATTGCTAAATAACAGCAGAGAAAATAAAGCACCTACTCGTCCAACCGATATACGAGTCTCGCTGCACACTGGCCGCGATGACAAAGACATAAAGCTTTTCGGTGTATTACCCAGTGCTACTATGTACATTATAGCTTACCATTTATACCGAGTGTTAATATTAATAACGATCCAAAATGGGTAAGGTTTGCTGAGTATAAAAAAAAGAGAAAATAAGAACGAAATGTGGGAACACATAAGCTTCCATCTTACCTAAGCAGTTCCTTGTTTCAAAATGGTCGCGCCCGTTTCCTTTTTTTTTTTTTTTTTTTTTTTTTTGTGTGTGTGTCCGTTCGACACTTCTCGCGAGCCCACAGTACTAGTCGCCATGCAAGCTGAAGTATTCTATAAGCATTTTATATAGAAGTGAATAAAGTGCGTTCGCTAATGCCAAATCTGTCATGATTGGTTTTATTTCCTTCGATTTTGCACTATGAATTTATACGTTTTCAATAAACATACATTTTATTAACTATAATACGTTTTAAATATCAGGACTTTGGTATACTCGTTAACTGTACTATTTCACATGTGTGTACCTGTCCCGAATTGTTTGGGATTACTCCACATTACTTATATTAAATTGTATTTCATTATATTCATTTTATGTTGTGTACACATTCCACCTATCATGAGGAATGTTGGTGGTCCCTCTACAGGATCTGACTGTCACTGGGTTGCTTCTTATGGCGATGTAAACTAGTCTAAAATATGGATAAGATGTGATAAATGAATTAATAAAGTAAAAGAAGCAACTATTAAGATTATTCACAGAATATACCCACTTAAAGAAGTGTCAGAGAGATTCTATTTAAATGTTAGTAACTCTTGTGATTTTTGTGAACTGATGTACAAAACAATTTCTCATGTTTTTTTTCCAAAATATTTTGAACTGACCTGGAACAATTTCTGGGAAGGTGTCATGCACCTCCAGTGGAGGGACATTTACCTTGGCTTTATGAATGAGAACATGGACATTGAAACTTGTTATTTGATCTATCTTCTTTTCTTGCTTGATAAATAACACGCCGAGCCAGCCAGCAGTAGGCTGATTTGAGAAGCTGCTCATTGCAGACCATAACTTCAAGGGGCATTTCCCAAAAACCTCAAGGGGTGGCTATCCATCCCATAACGTCTTCCTGCAAGGAGTGTCTTCTCTTTATTACAGATGAAATTATAAGTTTTAAATTGCTGTGTTTAGTTGGAAAAGCACATATTCTTATGGAAATGACTAATAATTTAGGGAAACAATTGAGGGGAAATTTAGGGAAATTTATTTTATTCTAAATAGACCTACTGCCCACTTGCTTAGAATAATCTATAGTCACAATACTGACTGTTTACGACAAGTTTTAAGCTATTCCGTTTACAGTATTTTAATGTAGATGCCTGCTTATCTTAACTAAACTAACGTTATGTCCACTGAATTTAAGGGGTCACTCTGAGCATTGTTATTTTGTTTGGCAGACTGTCACTCAGGCACTCAATCTAGTTACTAGTACTGAGGTAACGTAAGTTAACCAGTAAGGAAAAGATAAATGACATATTTGTTATCCCATATACAGTGGCTTAACCTTCACACTCAGTATAGGCTAATTGTCATGGACATCAAAATTTCCCTGTATTCATAAATTAGTTGTTTTAGTTAGATTATTCTCCATAGGCTATAGGGATAGACTTCTCATCCGTCACTGAACAGCATCATCTCAAAAGAGGCTGTTACCCTGCGGTCATACATGGGACACAGAGGGATACAAATCCTTGTTGTTGCTTATCACTAAGGGGCATTCTTGCTCTTTGTTGTCAACAAACCAAATGCATCATCGTTACTAATGACATCACATCAGCTAGGACTGGTACTGAGTGTATCACTGCATTGGCAAGACAGATGCTGTTGGATGAAATGAATGTTAGCTGTTTTTCTCATTTTTGAATATGTGGAAATTTAAGTTACACCTATTTACTACAATGCTACAGTGACTACAGGTGGCTGCTGGTGGGCAGACAATGGATCTGCTGGTGGAGGTTCAGGTGCTGTTACTGGGGTTGCCATTGCTGGGGTTGAAAGTGAAAGTTGTACGGAGACCATTGCCTTGCATGACTTAACCTACCTGATATTATTTCTTCTAAGCAGAGTGACAATAGCAGCAATGGAAATGGGTTGGCCATCTGCAGCCTAGAATACACAAAGAATAAACTGGATTAATTGCCTTTTTACCAATAGTGTTTTGCATATATGCTTGCACAGAGATGAACAATCTAATTTAAAGTGCACATTCCAGACTTTAATTGAACGTTATTTGCTTACATTTCAGTTTCACCATGTAGAAATTACATCACATTTCATACATAACCCCCCTCATTGCAGGGTACCACAATGTTTGGAACTTTTGGCTTCCCAGCTGTTTGTGATTATTCTGGTGTGTTTCATTGATTCATTAGTGCAGGGATAAGATACCTAAGCTTGCTTCTACCATTTTGGGTCTGTAGTTGCCATTGCTAAACATGAGGAGAAGAGCTGTGCCAATGACAGTCAAAGAAGCCGTTATGAGGCTGAAAAACAAGAATAAAGCCATTATAGACATTGGTCATACCCAAGGACAGGGGTACCCAATCTTATCCGTAAAGGGCCGGTGTGTATGCGGGTTTTTGTTGCAACTCCCTAATTAGATTACTAATTAGAGGACTGATCTTAAAAGTTGCACTTTTACTTCTTAAAAGTTGAACCAACCAGTTCAGAAAAAAATTACCTAGTACTCGATCTGAATCTCAGAAGTCAAACCGTGAACGCCGACCTAAGATAACTTGTACGCCCGGGGAAATGAGTCACGCGGCATGTCTCTCAGCGGAAACAAAGGGTAAAGCTTCAGTTTCAGCCTCGCATTCGCTGTGATAGCACCGTGCATGTTTACACTAACTGAATACATATATTTAGACAGTAAAAATACATTTAGACAATGATAGACAGTAACAGTAATTATTATATAATAAAATACATTTTAAAAAAAATAATTGATCATTTTAATATTAATAATAAACCATTAATACGTTTAATTATAATAATATTGTTGTGCCAAACAGGACGGAACGACGACAAACGGTATCGGTGAATACGGGGTTTAATTACATGTAAGGCAGGCAAAACGCAGACGGACAATACAATGACCGGACTGGAGAATCAAACTGAAATGCGGACGAAATACAGAGGACTATAATGACAACAACCAGAATGTAGCTGTAGAGGAAAGCAGAATATTATATGATGATATCAGGATTATGAGTAATAAAAATGATGTGGTGGTTATGGGTGATTTTAATTTACCTGGGATACAGTGGGACACAATCTCTGGCTCTTCTGTAAATGAACTTGAGATGGTGGAATTACAGTAGTACAGGATTTTTTTTTACTCAGTTTGTTAATACTCCTACCAGGGGAGAAGCCCTTCTTGATCTGGTTTTCTGTAA